CTCTCCCTCCCTCCCTCCCTCCCTTCCTCCCTTCCTTCTTCCCTTTATTTTATTTTCTTTCTACGTATTTTAGTTTTTCAGTCTGTGTTAACAACATTGAATTATGTTAATATATGAATTACACTCTCAGTTTGTATGTCAGATAAGTTATGAACAAAAAAGGCATACTCAGAAGACAACGTAGAGGTTATAGGTCTAGAAGGGGTTGACAATCACACCCTCATTTGTTTGCAGTATGTTGCCGTGAATTGCACTTTTACTTAAGCTAGGTTAAGTAGCTTTACAGGTTATATTATCTTAAATAACGGAGTCTCTATATTACTTTATAAGGAGAAGTAGAGTAACCAAGGATAGTTCTTTTACCTCACAGAAGTGATCAAACTTAAAAGATGAGTTAGAAAGTGTTTGAGATTTGTCCTTTTCAGGAATAGCAAGTAGTCTTAGATAGTATGATACTTAGAAAATATTTTCAGAAAAAATAAAAACTTAACTCTTTGATGTAAACATGAGTGAGAAAGTTTTAAGTGCTTTTTTGAAGGAAATTGATGCGGTGGAGCAGAGTTTGGCACATATTTTCCTGTAAAAGTTCAGATCGCAAATCTTTGTAGCTCTTCAGGCAATGCATTCCCTATTGCAGCGACTCGACTCCTATTGTAGCAGGAAAGCAGCCATAGGCAAACATACATGAATGGATGTAGCTGTGTTCCAGTAAAACTTCATTTACAGAAATGAGGATTGGGCTGGATATACTTTGCCAGCCCTTGCTATAGCGAAAGCATTTTGAATATATATTTTTAGAAATGCTTCTTCATCATTATATGATTTTACCCAAAATAAACAGAACTTGAAATCTTTGAATCACTTTATTATAAAATATTAAAATCAAGACTTTTTAAAGTAATGAAATTTATTTAGTTACATTGTTTTCACTGAGAGATATCAGTATTAATTTTTAGTGAGAACTAAATAAAGCATATTATTTATTTCATTTATATCTTATCTCATTAAGTTAACTTTTGTGTTTTGTAATTTATATAATCTATTAGAACATCATACATATATATTATATAAATAAAGGAATTAGTTTGGGAATTATTGGGGTTTTTTCCTGAAGGTAGAGCGCTGATCCAAATACTATTTTGGAGATTTTAGATGAGTTTTAACCTTTGCACTGCAAGTTCTCTGAATCCTTGTGTAATTGTAAAAACAATATTTGTATAAACTTAACGGGGCACAGGTTGTACACATATACCCAGACAGCTAATCTCTGCTATTTGTACTTGTTCAAAATGACACTATTTCTCCTAATGATAAATTTAGTCATTCTTGTGAGATGTAAATGTTTATGCTTCTCAGTCACTAAATATTTTAGTTCATGTTTTAATTCTTTGTGTAATTATTTCTTAGTCTATCCCTTCATAATTGTAACTCTAATTTTAAAATGATTTCCCCAATTATAAAATTATGCAAATATATAAAAAGCATTTTTTCTGTGTTTTGTTTTTAAAAAATTAGGATTATACTATCTAAACAATGTTGTAAACTGCCTTTTTCCCCTATTTGTAGTAGTATTATGGTGCACGTACTCTACCTCCCTGCCTACTGCCGCGTTTCAGCCATACTTTTTTCCAGAAGATATTTTAAAAGCTCTATATAAATATGTAAAATGCAACAAAATAAAATAAATTAAAAGTAGTTATTATTATTACTTTTTTTAATGGAGTCTTGCTGTGTCACCCATGCTGGAGTGCAGTCGTGCGATCTTGGCTCACTGCAACCTCTGCCTCCTGGGTTGAAGCAATTCTCCTGCCTCAGCCTCCTAAGTAGCTGGGATTACAGGTGGACACCACCACACCCAGCTATTTTTGCATTGTTAGTAGAGACAGAGTTTTGCCATGTTGGTCAGGCTGGTCTCAAACTTCTGACCTCAGGTGATCCTCCTGCCTCGGCCTCCCAGAGTGTTGGGATTACAGGCGTGAGCTATTGTATCTGGCCAAATATCTTTTGATAACATGATTTGTAATGGCTTTATAATATGCCAACTTGTAGATTTATCATAATTTATTTAATCATTGCCAATCATTAGATATTTAGGTTATTGTCAGTTTATTTAATTTCAATAAATGAGGCTGTGATAGATATCTCCTTTATACATAATCACTGTTTATATCACTGATACTTTTCTCAAAAAATCTATATAAAATTCCTAGATCAAAAAGTATAAACATTCTTAATATATTAATGCCAAATTATATTATAGAAAAAGTACATGTAGTTGCTTAGAGAAGAAATTCTTAGTTTCATTATATAGCATTCTCTTAGTGTCTCTTACTGAAGTATTTTCTTCACAGAAAATATTCCTGTTAGTATATCCTCTTTTATTACTTTGTTGAATGTTTAATAAATCAAGGATTATAAATTATAAATAATATATATTAAATATATGAAAATTTTTTTCCTCTCAAAGAAATTCCTTAGATATTAAAGATTTTACTCAGTGGAACTAAACTTCCCTGCCTCATCAGTTATTATTGCCCATTACTAATTGAAAGTTATATTCATGTTTAACATTTATATGTATTATATTTCTAATAGACTTGACCATAGTATTTTCATATTCTAATAATTGTAAAGGAAGTTTAAAGTCTGCTTTAAACTAACCAAAACGTTTCTTTCACAGTACAGTTTTAACTGTAATGTGCTTATTTGTTTTCTCTTATGGCAAAATACTTGCAGCACAGTGCACAAGTCTAAGGTGTGTTTTTTAAAAAATAACCTAACTTTGGCAAAAGTAGAAATAAATGCATTGGCTCTCAGGATTACAAGAACAGCTTTAATAACTAAACCATGAAGCATAGGGATATAGGCAGTAGTGTGTTGGAGGTGCTTATGCTGGCTCACAAGAGCTGATTGTGCACATCCCTTCCCACTTCCACGTTCAATGTTGTCGTGTTGGTAGCTTAAGATTGTCCACGTCAGGATTATTTCCACCAGAAAGTCAGCAAACACTCCAACTCAGAGGTTCCCACCACCCTAGTCAGTTGCTAAATCTTTATTAGCACATCACTGGACTTGAGCAGACATCAATCAGGTTCAGTTGCCTTCAGAACTCCTGTTAGAATCCTGAATTCTGCCTCTATAGAGGTTGACTTCTGTCAGTGAAGACTAGCTTTCTCAGTATAGTGAGATAATTGTCCCATGGCAGCTCCCAAGTTTTACATACTATCACATACTTTCTGACACCATAGAGAAACCAGCTTTCTCTGTTGCAGTTAGAAAAATACTAGAGAAGGCCTCTCCTCAGATGCCCACCATTGGGTACTTAATTCAGGGTTGAGGATGGGGGATCATGGTAAATGGGGTTGTATAAAAATTTGCATATCCCAGAGTGGCTATGTGAATGGGAATGAGTTTCCAGGGGAAGGAGAAAGAGACATTACAGAGCAGACAGCTCTATGATGTTTACTATACTTGCTAAAATATGAAATTCAGCTAAATTGGAATACAAAGTAGTGCCAAAACAGCATTAGGTTTGTGGAGTTATGTTACACATAATTGAAAAATCAAGGTTTTTTAAATAAAACATGTATTTTTTCAATCATGGTAATTTAAGTCCTACAATGAGTTTATTAAAATGTGCTTTTTATTTAGGGTTTGAACTACAGTTCCGATTAGGCCCAACTTTACAGGGAAAAGCAGTTACGGTGTTTACAAATTACCCATTTCCTGGAGAAACATTTAATAGACAAAAATTCCGTTCTCTGGATTGGGAAAATCCAACAGAAAGAGAAGATGATTCTGATAAATACTGTAAACTTAATCTGCAACAATCTGGTTCATTTCAGTATTATTTCCTTCAAGGGTAAGTCAGGTGTTTTGTTTGCAAGAAAAAAAAAGTTAATTTATTCTGTAATTTGAAGTTACCTAACTTGTAAATGTTACTGTATGAACCATGGCAGTGCAATTTTTACAATGCTTCCTTGAGATGCAAATAGAATATTCTTTGATTTCTAGGAGGTAATTGTATGGCCCATTGCAGAGCTAAAGTATCATGTAAATGTATTTTAAGTAACATCTTAAAAACTGTAGTCATTTCATGCAATCTGATTATAGGTTGCTGTTTATTTGCATGCCGTTGTTATTACTGATAGGTTTTAGTATACTTATTTTTCATGAAACCAACATTATTGGATATTTTGTGTATTATACATGTAATTATGTAGATTATGAAAGGGTAAAAGTAGCTTTTCCATTAAGTTTTGTTGCAACTTTTAAAATGATTTTATGTGCTTAGAAATAAATATATTTTATTTGGGACAATTAACCTTTTAGTTAGAGTCAGACTATATTATATGAGGATTATTTTTCTATCAATGACTGAAAAGTTTTTGTTTTGTTTTTTCCCTTAGAAATGAGAAAAGTGGTGGAGGTTACATAGTTGTGGACCCCATTTTACGTGTTGGTGCTGATAATCATATGCTACCCTTGGACTGTGTTACTCTTCAGACATTTTTAGCTAAGTGTTTGGGACCTTTTGATGAATGGGAAAGCAGACTTAGGGTTGCAAAAGAATCAGGTAATGTCAGCTTGCTTTTTCTTATTTAAAAAAATAAATGTAATTATCCTCTGTGATACAGATTTCAAAAGTTTTGTGTATTAGTTCATTCTCTCATTGCTATAAAGAACTACCTGAGACTGGGTAATTGATAAAGAAAAGAGGTTTGACTCACAGTTCTGCAGGCTGTACAGGAAGCATGGCTGGAAAGGCCTCAAGAAACTTACAGTCATGGCAGAAGGCAGAGGGGAAGCAGGCACGTCTTACATGGCTGGAGAAGGAGGAAGAGAACAAAACAGGAGGTGCTACATGCTTTTAAACAACCAGATCTTGTGAAAACTCACCCACTGTCATGAGAACAAGGGGGAAATCCACCAGCTTTCTCTCACCAGGCCCCTCCTGCAACACTGGGGATTACAATTTGAAGTGAGATTTGGGCAGGGACACAAATCCAAACCATATCTTTTTGCCTTTACGTTTAATTTTGTTTCTTATTATATTTGGTAATATAAGTAGATAGAACCATATTTAAAAAAAAATTTTTTTTTTTTTTTTTTTTTTGAGATGCAGTCTTGCCCTAGGCTGGAGTACAATGGCACGATCTTGGCTCACTGCAACCTCCACCTCCTGGGTTTAAATGATTCTCCCGCCTCAGCGTCCTGAGTAGCTGGGATTACAGGTGCCCACCACCAAGCCCAGCTCATTTTTGTATTTTTAGTAGAGACGGGGTTTCACCATGTTGGCCAGGCTGGTCTCAAACTTCTGACCTCGTGATCCACCTGCCTCAGCCTCCCAAAGTGCTGGGACTATAGACATGAACCACTGCACCCAGCCCATATTAAATTTTTGATACTTAACCATTTTTAACCTATAAAAATGGCAAATTTTGTGATTCATCTTAAGAAATGAAAGAACTCCATAATGAAATAATTATCATTTCTAGGACTTTACTATATAAAAATCAGAAGTAAGCTATTGAAAAGTGAAGGAAAATGTGTTATCATTATATATCATTTTAATTCAACAAGCATTGCTTAACCATCTTTTATGTAGAAGACATGCTATCATCCATATCAAGAGCAAAATGAAACTTAAGTTGTATTTTACTCTTAAGCAAAGGGCAAGATTAATTTTTTCTTTTCTTTGCTTTTTTTTTTTTTTTTTTTTTTTTTTTTGAGACGGTCTCACTCTGTCACCCAGGCTGGAGTGCAGTGGTGCAATCTCAACTCACTGCAGCCTCCTGGGTTCAAGTAATTCCTGTGTTGCAGCCTCCCTAGTAGCTGGGATTACAGGCATGCACCACCACGCCTGGCTAATTTTTGTATTTTTAGTAGAGATGGGGTTTCACCATGTTGCCCAGGCTGGTCTCAAACTTCTGACCTCAAGTGATATGCCCACCTCAGCTTCCCAAGGTGCTGGGATTACAGGCATGAACCACCGTGCCCAGCCATATATATATATTTTAAGACAAGGTCTCACTCTGTCACCCAGACTGGAGTGCAGTGGCCTGATCTATTTTTTGTAGAGACAAAAGTCGCCCTGTGTTGCCCAGGTTGGTCTTGAATTCCTGGGCTCAAGCAGTCCTCTTGCCTTGGCCTCCCAAAGTGCTGGAATTACAGGTGCAAGCCACTGCACCTGATCTCAATTTTAATTTTCTGCTTTTAAATTGAATAATATATGAAGAAAGGAATGAGAAGTTCACTGACATAACTAAAACAGAATACAACTACTATGGAACATTAAAAGTAGCTGAAAGACATATGTTGACATACTCGTAGAGGATAGATTTACTACACCTAAGTATATACATTTTCTAATAGGCAGTGTGTGTGAATTTTTTCAAATATTACCTCATTATCTCTGTCTTGTATATAAGGACACTGATATCTTGAAAGATTTAAATAAACTTGCTTAAAGTCTGTTAAACTCTTGGTATTGGAACCCAAGTGTTTGACTTCTTTTTTAGTAGCGTGCTTGCCTTGCTATTTATAATTAAGAAAGTTTAAATTTGTATTTTCTTCATTTTAGGCTGGTTTTGTTTGTTTGTTTTTACAGTGGTTTTTATTTGTTTTGCAGGCTACAACATGATTCATTTTACCCCATTGCAGACTCTCGGACTATCTAGGTCATCCTACTCCCTTGCCAATCAGTTAGAATTAAATCCTGACTTTTCAAGACCTAATAGAAAGTATACCTGGAATGATGTTGGACAGCTAGTGGAAAAATTAAAAAAGGAATGGAATATTATTTGTATTACTGATGTTGTCTACAATCATACTGGTATGAGCTTCATTGACTGCCTTTATTAATTTTGATGAGAATTTATACATACACACATACACACACAAACAGGAGAAGGGAAGGGAGGAAAGAAAGGGAAAGGAAAGGGGCTAACATAAATTTTAAAAACACAAATGATGATTAGGTGTCCTTCTATTTAAAAAATTAGTATTTTTCCTTTCAAAGAAAACATTCTTAATTGAGGATAAAGTCAATATATAAGTATCTTGCATCTGATGTTTATAAATACAGGAGAGTGATCATAGAAGGAACATAATGATCACATATTTCAACTTAGAGTACAGTAGTCCCCCCTTATTCACAGTTTTGCTTTCTGAGGTTTCAGTTACCTGCAGTCAGTCACATTTCAAAAATATTGAACAATTCCAAAAATAAGCAATTTGTAAGTTTTAATTTTCATGCTGTTTTAAGTAACATGATGAACTCCCATGCCATCCTGCTCTCTCCCACCTGGAATGTGACTCATCCCTTTGTCCAGTGCATCCATGCTGTAAACACTACCTGCCGACGAGTCACTTAATAGCCTGCTCAGTTATCAGATCAAAAAAACAAAATATCAAAAAATATATATGTAGGGTTTGATACTATCTATAGTTTAACACATTCACTTGGAGTCTTGGAAGGTATCCTTTAAGGATAAGAGGGGGCTACTCTGTTAATACTTTCTCAAGTAACACATGGATCCTATATTAGCAGGAGCTCTAGTACTGTAGTGCTATAGCATATATTAAAAAACTAAATGACTTCTATTATTTGGAGAGAAACTTATTAGTAAACTCTCAGAAGGTGTATCTAGAAATTATGTCTTCTACATGTTAAAAGAGCTTATTAAAGTTAGTCTGTTTTGGTTCCCAAGATTCCTTAGTGATATATAATTCTATTAAAATATATCAAATTTTTCCAGCTAGCGATCCTTGAGGAAATGGTTCCTCCCCTCACCTGTCAGAGGAGCTGAGCCTGGCTTGGCCTAGCCTGACAAGGCCTGGCCTAGCCTGACAAAGCCTGGCCATGAGCAGCTTTGGGTTAACCCAGTTTACCTTACAAATGTTATCTTGCATGTATGCTACAATGTAGAAAAGTTTGGAAAACACTGTTTTGCATATGTAAAGAACAAGAATTCTAGTTGGTACAAACATTTAAAAGATATAATCTGCTGTTTCATAAAACAGTTCTCCAAGTAACCATAGGAACTATGAAGATATTTAAAAGCTTATATATCTGATTCATCAATATAAATAAAAATCTCTAATCATAATGGCAAAGTTAGGTAAAGAAATAGGTACATTCTAAAATTTGGTGTTTCTGCATGTACCTAGAAACCAAGCCTCCAATTCTACAGTGAAAACTTTGCAATACCCAAGAACTCAGTATTCTTCACTTGAATATTTGACATTATTAAGCCAGGTGCTGTCGCTTACACCTGTAATCCCAGCTACTTGAGAGGCTGAAGTGCGAGGATCACTTGAGGCCAGGAGTTTGAAACCAACCTTAGCAACATAATGAGACTCCATCTCTTACAAAATAATGTAAAAAAAATTAAAGGAAAATTTGACAGTCTTAATCACTTTGAGATCTGTAATATTATTGAAATCAAATTTATCAAACCACATAATGGCATTTTATGAGTTACAAATTGTATGAGTTAGGATATGGCTTAAGCAGCTGTAACAGAAAAATATAGGGACTAACAGCTAAAATTGTATTTATTTCTTACTAAAAGATTAAATAGGCATTCCTGGACTAGAATGGTAGTTCAGTGGTGATAGGGAACTAATTTCTCTCATGTTGCTCAGCAGTCTCCAACACTTTGCTTCAAATTCTTAGTCAGATATGGCTATTGCAGCTCCTGCTACCACATTCTCCCCAGTGGAAATGGGGAAAGGGCAGGCCTGTCTTTTCGAATATGATATGATATATATTACCGTGTTCACATTGCGTCACAGGAATTTGTCTCTTGCCATACCTACCTTAAAGGAGACCTGCAATGTAGTCTTGAATTTGTCAGCTATGTGTAAGTTGAACCTTGGGAATTTTATTACTAAAGAAAGAATGGGAGAATAAAATTGAGTACAGCAGCAGTCTCTGCCACAAACTATATTTCTGAGACATTTGAGAGGTTCTATGCAACGTACAAGAAGTAAACCTTGCCACAGCCTTACTTGAAAAGTGTTGCAAATCATAATATCCTTTCTGTGAAACAAGTTTTCTTTTTAAAAAAAAAAGTATTATCTAGCAGAATTCAGCCTCCAGAATGGTTATGTGAAGGCTTCATATACTTTATGCAGTGAAACAACCCTAACTGGTGAAAATTATTTGAAGACAATCACTTAAATCCCCTGGAAATTGTCCTATGGACATTTAGCATATGGAGAAACATACGAAAATCTATTACATCTTAATAAGAACAAGTATCCTTGGTGATTGAACCAAGACCTGCTCCATTATCTTACACAGATGCCTCTGTTATGGAAGCTCTATCACAGGCGCACCACTCCTGGTAGGTGTGGTTAAGAGGAGACATTCTCTCCTCCCAACTTCCAGCCTGGGGTTACAGTTTCACCCTAAGAGGCACAGTCTATGAGTGTTTCTAATTCTTCCTGCCGGCCCTGTCTTGCAGAAGTTCTTTTTTTTCCTCTCTTTTTTTTTTTGAGACAGAGTCTCCTTCTGTTGCCCAGGCTGGAGTGCAGTGGTACAATCTCAGCTCACTGCAGCCTCCACCTCCTGGGTTCAAGTGATTCTCATGCCTCAGCCTCCCGAGTAGTCGGTATTACAGGTATGAGCCACCATGCCTGGCTAATTTTTATATTTTTAGTAGAGATGGAGTCCCGTCATATTGGCCAGGTTTGTCTCAAACTCCTGACCTCAGGTGATCCACCCCGCCTTGGCCTCCCAAAGTGCTGGGATTACAGGGGTGAGCCACCGCACCCGGCCATGTTGCAGAAGTTCTATTCCAAGTAGGTAGGTGGAGAAAAATCTCCCTTTCTCCACCCAGCCCCTACTTGCAGAGCTGACATCCTTTCCCAGATGTAGCAGGCCAAGAACACTGGGAACCCAATTGCCCTGGAAAAGGTCTTGGTTCAAATGCCAAGAATGTTTCTCCTTATGCTGAATGCCCTAGGATAATTTCCAGGGACTAAATGATTGTTTTTAAAATATTTTCACCAGTCAAATTGTTTTGCTGGGGACTGTGTTTGTTGAGTTTCTTCCTGTATCACTCCAAAAGTCCACATTTATTTTTTAATGCTGATGTGTGTTAAAATATAGTTTGGAGTTTGACTCTTCTTTCATGTAGAATTAGAAAAAAATATTTTCACTACCTGTTGTTTAGAATTCTTTCATTTTACAGTTGATTTTTGTTTCAAAATATTGAGAAAAGAAACAGTTTTAGGATTTTGCTATTTTAAAAATTGGGAATGGATGGAGTGGCTCACACCAGTAATCCCAGCACTTTGGGAGGCCGTGGCGGATGGGTCACCTGAGGTCATGAATTCGAGACCAGCCTGGACAATATGGTGAAAACCCATGTCTACTAAAAATACAAAAATTAGCCGGGCATGGTGCTGGGTGCCTGTAATCCCAGCTACTCCAGAGGATGAGGCAGGAGAATCACTTGAACCAAAGAGGTGGAGGTTACAGTGAGCCGAGATTGTGCCACTGTACTCCAGCCTGGGTGACAAAGCAAGACTCTGTCTCAAAAAAAAGAAAAATTTAAATTAGCAGGGTGTGTTGGCATACACTTGTCATCCTGACTACTTGGGAGGCTGAGGCAGGAGGATCACTTGAGCTCAAGGCTGCAGTGAGCTATGGTTGCACCACTGCACTCCTGCACTCCTGGGTGACAGAGAAAGACCCTGTCTCAAAACTAAATGAATGAATGAGGGCAGCATTGGTATTTATTCTCTTTTTTTTTGAGACAGGTTCTCATTCTATATGTCACTCAGGCTGTAGTGCAGTGGTACCATCTCAGTTCACTGCAGCCTCCGCTTATTGGGCTCAAGCAGCCCTCCCACCTTAACCTCCTGAGTAGCTGGGACTTTAGGCACATGCCACCATGCTGAGCTAATTTTTAAAAGATATTGTAGAGATGAGGTCTCACTATGTTGCCCAGGCTGTCTCCAGCTCCTGGGCTCAAGTGATACTCCCTCCTCGACCTCCCAAAGTGCTGGGATTACAGGCGTGAGCCAGCGCACCTAGCCCCAATATTTATTCTTTATAAGTGAAAATCCTATTTGGATATAAGTTATTACTACATTTTGTGTTTTTGAAAAATACCTTGAATTTCAGTGATTGTGTTGATGAGTCTCGGAGGAACTATCTTGATGCAAGTTTTGAGAATTACCAGTTTAACTTTTATTACAACTTCTCTGCTCCTTACATAGCCTCTCTTCATCTGAGTGTTTATTATGGGTATGAATAAATACTAAGTAAATAAATGATTTACTAAATAAATGACTGAAACTAGAAATAATAATGATTGTAAAATTATATAAGAGTGCTCAGCTGAGTGAATGAAGCATGAACACGTTCATTTCAGCAGCAGAGCAATGTGGTTAAGATTGCACATTCTGAAAAAGGACTTGGCCAAGTTAATTCCTGACTGTATGACTTGGGCTGAGTTACTTAAATCTCCGTGCTTCAGTTCCTCATTTGTTAAGAGAACTTAACAGTACATCCTAATTTGTGTGGTAGGAAGTGAGGAATAATAAATTGGCGTATTTCACTGCTTAGAACAATTTCTGGTATGTGGTAAATATTCCGTAATTGTTACTACTTTTTGTTTTATGTACATTAATCACTCATGGTCTTCAATATGAATTCAGGGATAATTAGTCCATTTTAAAGATCAAACAAATTCCATGTAACTTTCTTTTTTTATTTTAAAATTAAAACAAATTATCTTTTTTTAAATTAGTAGATATAGGGTTTCACTTTGTTGCCCAAGCTGGTCTTGAACTCCTGCAGGCTATCCTATTTCCACTCCCACAAAGTGCTGGGGTTGAGCCACCATGCCTGGCCAAAACAAATTATCTTCAATGCTGTAAATATTTGGAATACTTTGCCAAACTCTTGATTCTGATTCTGAACTGTAAGCTAGATTCATATTCCTTGAGCATATTTCTTTTAGCACTTTCTCAGCCTCACTTTTATCCAACTTATCAAAGCAACATATTTCATTAATGCTTTAGGATTAGCCATACAAAAGTATTACCTATGAGAGAGTTGCTTTTTGTTTCATCGGATTTTCTAAGCAGAATTAAAGTTAAAAAAAAACAAAAAGTATGGTGAAGCGAATGATAGGATACCATAACCAAAGAAAAAATGTTTCCTATAACAGTATCATTGTAAAATATTGATATCTAATATAGAAAAAAATGAGTGGTGGTAGATGTTTCTATTTTATTTCACCTCTAAACTTAACATAGATACAGTTTCAATTTAATTATGAGATACTCCTTTGTGTCTCCTTTTTCCTTCAGCTGCTAATAGTAAATGGATCCAGGAACATCCAGAATGTGCCTATAATCTTGTGAATTCTCCACACTTAAAACCTGCCTGGGTTTTAGACAGAGCACTTTGGCATTTTTCCTGTGATGTTGCAGAAGGGAAATACAAAGAAAAGGGAATACCTGCTTTGATTGAAAATGATCACCATATGAATGTCAGTATGTACAGAGGAGTATCACACTAAAACAGAAAAAATTTCTAAAGTACACATTAAATATATGTTTGAAAATTACTTACAATCTGTATTTTAATATGATAAACAGTATTTGGTTAAATGATTTGAAATAAATATATGTATATATGTGTTTTTTAACTATTGACATTTTTCAGTCCATCCGAAAAATGATTTGGGAGGATATTTTTCCAAAGCTTAAACTCTGGGAATTTTTCCAAGTAGACGTCAACAAAGCAGTTGAGCAATTTAGAAGACTTCTTACACAAGGTAAAGGATATATGCTAGAATGTTCCTATCAATTTTAAGAAATTTAATATTATAAAGGGAAAATTCTTTTGCGTAATGTTATTATTAAATATGTCATTGTATGGTATTTGTGTTATTGTTGATATTATAAAACTGAATCTGTAAGCTGAGAGCAGAGACATCTAAAGGGCATGTCATAAGAACACATAACACAATTATTTCCCCTGGGTACTGTATCTTACTGTTAGTTCCATAGAATGCTCAGAATTTTGTGGAACCCAGTATATAGTTATTAAATGTATGAATGGGAAGTAGGTAGAACAGGTTATTTCAACTGAGAATGGCTTGAAACAAGTTTTGAAACTGAGAGATGTGATAGTCTCCTGTTGTCTATAGTAAGAATCTTAACTGACATAGAGGGGCTTCCAGCTGATTTTCCCCACTATTAAGGCCACCTAACCAGATACTGAAGCCAGATATTGGCGAAATAACAAAAGGTAACGAAGTGAGTCTTCTATTAAGGACATAACTAATCAAGAAGGTAATGTGCCCCCAACAAAATAGGGTAAGAAAAAATAAGTGAAATGAGAAAGTAGGGTTTGTAGGAGACAAATTAGAAAGGATTATTAAGAGCTATCTGCATTTCATATAGGACAACCTAGCAGTGAGGATTTGGAGAAGATCTTAAAATAAATATTTTTTTCTCTTCCAGAAAACAGAACTAGAGTAGGACTCAGAAATAGTGCCTTTAAAGTAGAATGAGCTCTAGGATACTCAGTCAGCTTCATACATCAACTTTTGCAATTGTGTAACACCTTAGTACAGGAATTTTTAATATTAACCTTTCTTCCTGTTTCATTTTACTAAAGGGCCTCTATCTTCCCTTCCCCCAGTAAGCTGTATTATTTACATGAAATAATATGTGCTCATTATAAAGAGAAAAAGCCCAATAGTTCGAATGTGTAAGAAAATAGAATGTATGACCTCCTCTCTCCCAAAACCCACATCTCAGCTACTATATATTGTTTCTGATATTTAAGACTCTTCTTGAAAAAAATTCAATTTGATATATAATTGTATGTAATTCTATATATGGTATGTACATAAGTTTTATATTTATATTATTTTTACACATGCAAATAAGACTAGAACATAAACCGTCAACAACTTGTTCTTTTAGTTGACAATATAAATTTATTATAGCTAATTATTTCTTTTAACCTCTGTATAGCAATATGCTGTTTTTAAAGTACTTGAATTTATTTAGCCTTTTTGATAGGTTGTTTCCAGATTTTTCATTTTTCATTCATTCATTCAATGCATATTCATTGAACCACCTACTGCTGTGTGCTAGACATTCCTCCAGGCATGAGGATTCAGTGGTAAACAGAACAAAGTCCTTTCCCTGGATAAACTTCCAGTCTCATAAGCTGTACTGCAGAAAATACATCCCTGTACATGTTATGTTTACTTGCTTACGTGAGTCAATCTGAAGGATAAATTGTTAAGCGTGAAATTATTGAGTCAAAGGGTATATAGATTTCAAATATAATAAATTTATTTTCACAGCAAGTTATACCAACTTAATATTATCACTAACATTAGATATCATTAACCTTTATCATGTTTGTCAATCAGGCAAAACATACTTTATTTTAATTTACATTACTTTCTTTTTTTTTGAGACGGAGTCTCGCTCTGTCACCAGGCTAGAGTGCAGTGGTGTGATCTCGGCTCACTGCAACCTCCACCTCCCAGGTTCAAGTGATTCTCCTGCCTCAGCCTTCCAAGTAACTGAAACTACAGGCATGCGCCACCACACCCAGCTAATTTTTGTATTTTTAGTAGAGATGGGGTTTCACCATGTTGGCCAGGATGGTCTCTATCTCTTGACCTCATGATCCGCCTGCCTCGGCCTCCCAGAGTGCTGGGATTACAGGCGTGAGCCACGGTGCCCAGCCTTTTAAGTTACATTTATTAGCTTATTAGTGAAGTATATTTTTACATGTTAATTAGCTATTTATATTTCTTCCATTAATTGCCGTTAATGTTTCTTCTCATTTTTCTATTGAGTTGTCTGTTTTTTATATTGACATTATTATTGATTATTACATGGGCCTCAAATATATCCTCCTAGTATGCTCTTGATCTTTCAACTCTTGTTTATGGTGACATTTTTTTTCGATGTTGTCAAACTTCTCAATTTCTGATGGCTTCCAATTTTATATCATGCTTAGAAAAGACCTTCCATCAGCATTCTCTTTTCTTCTAATTTGTATTTTTACATTTGAATGTTTAATATACCTGAAATTTATTTTTGTATATTATATAAAGAAGATATTTAACTTGATTTGTATTTTTAAAATTATATTGAGTTGAAAATCCATCCTTTTATACTGATTTGAAGTACCACCGTAATACTTCATAGTGTATGGTAATATACAAAATATACATCTGTTATCTGTGCTCTTCCACTGATCCATCTCTTTTATTCTGTCAATACTAAAGACTAAATACTAAATACTAAAGTTTATACTGATGGCATAGCTTTTTCTCTTTTTCAAACATTTCATTTCTTGGCAGTGTTCTTTTTTTTTTTTTTTTTTGAGATGGAGTTTCACTCTTGTTGCCTAGGCTGAAGTGCAGTGGCATGATCTCCGCTCACTGCAACCTCCACTTCCTGGATTCAAGCGATTCTCCTGCCTCAGCCTCCCAAGTAGCTGGGATTACAGGCATGTGCCACCACACCCAGCGAATTCTGTATTTTTAGTAGAGATGGGGTTTCTCCATGTTGGTCTCGAACTGGCTGGTCTTGAACTCCTGACCTTAGGTGATCCGCCTGCCTCAGCCTCCCAAAATGCTGGGATTACAGGTGTTAGCCACCGTGCCCGCGGCAGTTTTCATATATTTACTCTTGCAGATGAACCTTAGAAACTGGATTTTAAGAATCGATTTGTATTTTATGCTGTTTTGTGAGGCGAACATGAATAACCACTGCACTATGGAAACCCATTATTTTATGTTTTTTTGTGTTTTTATAAGTCATTTCAAAGTCTCTCTGGAATAAGCCAGATACAAATTAATTAGTTAATATAAAATCAAGTTCAATGGAGGCAATCCTGTACCAATTCTTAATTTTATTACAAACAAGTTCCAGAAAAAGAGTGAAAATTTCCCCAAAAACCATTTCTTTCCCTTTTAATTTTTAAGTTATTATCTAAGGAATATGGTTGATGAAAAGGGAAAGAAAGTATTAAGCTTGTGTGCTTCTTTTAGAGAATACAAAGAAAGTCAGGTTGTTAATAAGACTTTAGGAAGCAAACTTTGAAAGCAATCTTGAAAAAGAACTCCTAATGTTAGAATATGTGGTAGCACATGGGAGGAAAGCACGTTCCACTAAAGTCCTTAATGTGTTTAAAAAAAAAAAAAAAAAAGAATAGAATAGAATAAGTGAATGCTGATGTAGGCAGAAAAGTGGTGCTGGAATTGAATTGATAGGAATCCTTGTGTCTTTCTTTTATGTTATTTTTGTCTCTCTGTGTTTCTTTCTCCACACGCCTCGTGTGTGTGTGTGTGTGTGTGTGTGTGTGTGTGTGTACACACAGCAAGATGAGAAGGGGAGGAGGTAGAAGGATACTTGTGGAAGTATCCTTTTCAATGAAAAAATTATTTTCAATGAAAAAATTATAGGCCCCAAATTAGAAAATAGTGACAGTTATAATCTTTGTGGATAGTTGCATTTAAGATACCATCTTTTTTTCTTTTAGAAAATAGGAGAGTAACCAAGTCTGATCCAAACCAACATCTTAAGATTATTCAAGATCCTGAATACAGACGATTTGGCTGTACTGTAGATATGAACATTGCACTAACGACTTTCATACCACATGAGTATGTAATGTGTTTTTTTCTGTGAAATAAAGAATATTACTTATAAACCTTTATGGCTAGTATGATTTTCATACTACTTATTAAAAACGCTTAATAGAAAATGAAATAAAGTAATTCACTGTAATTCTGCTATTTCAGCACATGACATTTTCCCAACTTTTTCTGTGTGTGGGCCATGTTGCTATATTTGTGTATAAACATTTTTACAATTGAAAAACGTCATCAGCCATAATTGAAATCCTGATGAATATATTTAAGGTTTCTGTGACCTTTGTTAGAAATTTTTTAAAGGTAGAATCTGTAAAGCCATTAAATACTATATCTGCATTTCTCCATCTGCTCTAGCAATGGGCCAGCAGCAATTGAAGAATGCTGTAATTGGTTTCGTAAGAGAATTGAGGAATTAAATTCAGAGAAGCATCGACTCATTAACTACCATCAGGAACAGGTTTTACTTATTTTTGAACTGCTGCTTTTCCTTGCATCTTATTACTATTTTTTTGTTGTCTTGATGATGATGATGATCTAACACAATTTAATGTTTTTCAGGCAGTTAATTGCCTTTTGGGAAATGTGTTTTATGAACGACTGGCTGGCCATGGTCCAAAACTAGGACCTGTCACTAGAAAGCATCCTTTAGTTACCAGGTGTTGCATTTTTGTCTTTTTTTTTCTTATTGATGGTTGAACATTGAAAATTGTATTTAACATCTGAAATTAACCTAAATGTTTTCTTTAACATGTGACTTCCAGTACATTTCTTAAATTGAAATGGAAGTTTTGATTTGGACATAGGCTTAATATTAACTCATTTTGTTAGGCAAATATTTTGTTAGAGAAACTGTCATCAGTATGAACCAATTTATAGTTATCATTTACTTTAATGTTTCTGGAGGACTGCATACTTAGTGATAAATTCAATATTAATCAATTTAAGCAAGCATCTAGCTCCTTACTTTGTAAGTGACATGAAGCATAGGTTGGGCAACTAGAGTGTAGTAAAAGCCTTTGCATAACTTTTTACTTAAGAGTCTTTTTTTAAAACGTCTTTGCAAAGTAACATCAATGCCTCCATTATTATTTTTTTTTTCTTTGAGATGGAGTCTCGTTCTGTCACCCAGGCTGGAGTGCAGTGGCGCGATCTCAGCTCACTGCAACCTCTGCCTCCCGGGTTCAAGTGATTCTCCTGCCTCAGCCACCCAAGTAGCCAGGCTACAGGGGTGCACCACCATGCCCAGCTAATTTTTGTAGTTTTAGTAGAGACGGGGTTTCCCCATGTTGGCCAGGCTGGTCTCAAACTCCTGACCTCAGGTAATCCGCCTGCCTCAGCCTCCCAAAGTTCTGGGATTGCAGGCATGAGCCACCATGCCTGGCTACCTCAATGATTTTTTAAAATAGTTTTATGAAGTTTTAAACATTATTTTAAATGTTAGCCAGCTATCCTGTTGTGTTAACTCCCTATTTCTCACATTCTACTAGATTTACTCAAAAAGTCTATTGAAGATTCTTGACCTATGTTGAACTTTTTTTCTATAAATAGCATCAAACTAATTTTATTCTATTCATTAGAGAAGAAGTTTAGTTTTAATGTTGCAAATTCATATTCTCTCCAAGGAGTTTCTTTGTATGGATTTAATATTTAATTATATTTTCATAGGTATTTTACTTTCCCATTTGAAGAAATGGACTTCTCTGTGGAAGAATCTATGATTCATCTCCCAAATAAAGCTTGTTTTCTGATGGCACACAACGGATGGGTAATGGGAGATGATCCTCTTCGAAACTTTGCTGAACCAGGTATATAATTTTTAACTTCTCTATGGATAGGGAAAGAATAGTTCATGGCAAGGTCAAAATAAAATCTGCTTTATTGATTTTCTTCCCCATTATTCTATTGGTTTTTAAACTATTTCACCAGTAAAGGTACCAGAGGTACATACAATTTGAGAAAGAAAACATAGAGTCAACAAATAAAGAAGTTCATCTTCTTTCCTCTCCTTTGCCTTCCTACCTTTTATCCTCTCAAACAGAATAACTTTTATGTATCTATTTTCTATACTGTGGGTCTATGTAAGCTTTTATTTGGACAAAATATTATTGCATTTTTACAAACAAGTTTGAAACCACTGCTATTACAATTACGTTGCCATAAGAGATATTTTCACTCATTGGCCAGAGGTATTAAGACATTTCAGTGGCAATTAAACTAGAACCTAATGGTTTGAGGTCCCCCCTCACTCTTAGTGTGTTGTTTTTCTATAGCTATTTCATTACCAGGAAGAATGTTGCAGGAGCTCATTGATATATTTATTTTTTAACATTTCAAAACTAGAAGTCTATTTTAGTGACATCAGAATTTATTCAGAAATCTTATGCTTTTTTTTAAGAGTATAAATTTGGGTGTAAGTATCTCTGCCCTCTTTTTTCTAGCCATTCTAAACAAAATCAAGCCATTCTGCTGTATGCCATGGATCTAATATAACCTGTTGCCAAAAATAAGTAGGAGGGTGGAAATGGAGCTTTAAATGTCTTGGTAGAACTATGGTTTTGAAAGGCCTATGATATTAACATTTCTGTTTTCCCTTATGAAGTGACTTGGATTTTTGAAATTGAGGACACATTTTTGGAAGAAACTATAAGCTAGAGTTTTTTCAGAGTAGCTATGAGAAATAAATTATTATTAATTTTTTAAAACATTATCTCATACCACTTTAGATACAATTTTAACCAATATATCATTCGTGGGAGAAATGATCAAAGCAATTTAAAAATCAATGTTTCCATGAAGTAATTGTTTTCATTTTATTTCTTGAACTATTGAAAGCAATCTCTTTTCTGAACAGGCTCAGAAGTTTACCTAAGGAGAGAACTTATTTGCTGGGGAGACAGTGTTAAATTGCGCTATGGGAATAAACCAGAGGACTGTCCTTTTCTCTGGGCACACATGAAAAAATACACTGAAATAACTGCAACTTATTTCCAGGGAGTACGTCTTGATAACTGCCACTCAACACCTCTTCATGTAGCTGAGGTACAGAAAAACAATTTATCTACATTAAGAAAAGAAATTCAGTGTTCTTTCCTAGCTTTCCTTAAGTAGACTATGCAGGTAAATGTTTCCTTTTGCTAGTTGGACACCGACATTGATTTGGTGGTAGTGTTTATCACTATTGCATAATTAGCATAATTCTAACACTCTTTTGATGCAGTTGTTATGGAATACTGGGCTACAAAATATTTAACTAATTAATTTTAAAATTTTAATTTAGGGAAGTTGATCATATTGTTTCTGATAATATGGAGCGCTTTTGTAAATACATGAAATGTGTTTACAATACATAAAATGTATATTGGCTACTGTAAATACATAAATGTTAATTTTTCTTATTTTTAGGTTGCTTTCAATATATTTAGAAGTGACTGTGAAGGTGAATAGCTTATTACACATTATAGTGGTGTGCGCCTGTAGTGCCAGCTACTCGTGAGGCTGAGGCAAGAGAATCACTTGAACCCAGGAGGCGAGGGTTGCAGTGAACTGAGATCACACCACTGCACTCCAGCGTAGCGACAGAGTGAGACTCTGTCTAAAAAAAAAAATAAATAAAATAAAATTTTTAAAATATTAACGTTATAGCATATTGAAGCCAGTCTAGCCTCATCGATTTAATTTTTATTATTTATAAAAATATGTGTAAACATAAACATTGTCTATTCCTCTTTGAGCTCTTTACAATAACTTCTGAACAATGCCAGTACTTACAATATTACCTTCTATCTAATACAACTTTGTAATTAAACTCATAATTTTCATCCTGCTTATAAGATTTTTTTTAATTTATTATTTTTAGAAACCCTACAGTAGCACTGCTTGTAAGATTTTTGATAGCTTCCTAGTGACCAGTGTCACCTAGGTCTTCTTTGGAAATGTGTGTTTACCTGAAAAATATCTTATTTGTATAATATTAAAGCAGTATTATAATGTGTATGTTTCAAGTCCTGTGATGAAAAATTGATTTGATTTGGAGGGATTTAGTGAACATTAGTTAAGCTGATAGAACATTGTCTAGTTCCAGAAAATGACGGCTTTATTTTATTGTGCTTTTAGCAACAGCAAAAAAAAATATGCTTCTAAGATTATTATATGGCAGAAAAGAATGTTCAAACTTAATTTTAAATTACAAAACTAGGATTCTACTTGTTAGCTGAGAGAATTTCAAGTATTTTATTAATCTTTGTGCAAATGTTATGTTTAACAGTTTGGAACCTATCTGATTTTTTATTATAAACCAGTGTTTATAATAAACAGCTAGATAGATAGCACCAATGTTAAATATAAATCACACAAGTAGAAATTGTAAGGTATGAGAGTTTTTAAGAGTTTTATCATCATCTGTAGGAGAAACTAGCTTCAATCTGGTCAGGCAGACCTAATCTTTCCAACAGCTACGTAATTCATCAGGGAATTTGTGAATAATTGTTTAGTCAACTACCTGGAAATTAAGTCTGATTAAAGTTTTAAAAATAAGCACATAGGCCCTGGCACAGTGGCTCACGTCTGTAATCCCAGCACTTTTAGGCCAAGGCAGGCAGATCACCTGAGGTTGGGAGTTTGCGACCAGCCTGACCAACGTGGAGAAACCCTGTCTCTACTAAAAATACAAAATTAGCTGGGTGTGGTGGCACATGCTTGTAATCCCAGCTACTCAGGAGGCTGAGGCGGGAGAATCACTTGAACCTGGAAGGCGGAGGTTGTGGTGAGCTCAGATCACGCCATTGCACTCCAGCCTGGGCAACAAGAAAGAAACTCGGTCTCAAAAATAGATAGATAGATAGATAGATAGATAGATAGATAGATAGATAGATAGATAGATAGATAGATAGATAGATAAGCAAACAGGGAGAAAGCCTAACAGAATTGTAGTGTTATGATTTACATTTAGTAATATGAAACTAACATTTTTCTTCTTCTTTTTCTCTCTCATGTCTCAATATCTTTGCAAAATCTAATCTTCCTTTTTAACTGTTTTCTTCTCTTTATAAATTCTCTTGTTTCTATGTGTTTTGGTATGTTTGATATTTTCTTACATATGTACAATGAAATTTTATTTGGAAATTCTTCTTGAATTTCCGTTTTATCTTGCTGCATATTTTTCTATGTCAAATCCATGCCTCCTTTTGTCTCCTTCCTTCCTCCTATCTTGCTTTTCTCTTTGTTACATTTATTTGTTACATTTGTCGCTGTGCTTTTTACAGTACATGTTGGATGCTGCTAGGAATTTGCAACCCAATTTATATGTAGTAGCTGAACTGTTCACAGGAAGTGAAGATCTGGACAATATCTTTGTTACTAGACTGGGCATTAGTTCCTTAATAAGAGGTAGGCTTGTTGGAGTGTATTTCCCATCTAAAACTTTAGCTTTGATTAAAGGATTTAATAGCTTCATATGCAATGCTTAATAATTTTTTAACACAGTTAATGTTCTTTTAAATAGTTTGTGTGACATATTCTAATATGACTCATTCTATTTTTATCAGTATAAATTTCTGCTTGGGGGTAAGGTACCTCATTTCAAATTGAAAGACCAGTAGGATGAACTGAAGACTCACTAACAAAACCATTTTTTGTTGCTGAAAATACGTAAACCTATTTTTCATCTTCTACTGGGAGATATGATGTAAAGTTTAGATGTTTTACACTGAATTTTGTGTAGCTTACATCCCAGTAAACAACGTATGTTCCCTTTTCCTTACATGAGCCATTTCTCCAGTTAAGTTACGGGGGAAAACTTTTTTGTCACTTAAACTAGTAGACATTTGTTTAAATCCTTAAAGCAGTTTTTTTTTTATAATATTGATGTGGTCTTTATTTTGAAAATCATTTATGATAAGAAATCTAACCTCTTCCTGGACATAAATAATGAAGATTGTTAAAATATTCTGTAATGCTCTGCAGAGGCAATGAGTGCATATAATAGTCATGAAGAGGGCAGATTAGTTTACCGATATGGAGGAGAACCTGTTGGATCCTTTGTTCAGCCCTGTTTGAGGCCTTTAATGCCAGCTATTGCACATGCCTTGTTTATGGATATTACCCATGATAATGAGTGTCCTATTGTGGTAAGCACCTAATCTTTTTCATGTACTTATTTTGCTGAATGCTTTGATAATTAACTCTCTAACACTTGGTCACAATCATTTCCATATACTTCAAACTAGTGTCTTAGATTTACAACTGATTTATAATACATAGTTTTCAGAATGTTTTGCTTGTTTAAAAGCAAATTAATTTACCTTATGAATGTATTTATGTAATTATCCTTTTACTTCATTATGCTATAGAATGGCATTTTGCATTTGAAAGAAAGCAAACTTTTGCTTTGTTGTTGTCTTCTAGCATAGATCAGCATATGATGCTCTTCCAAGTACTACAATTGTTTCTATGGCGTGTTGTGCTAGTGGAAGTACAAGAGGCTATGATGAATTAGTGCCTCATCAGGTTTGTTTATATGTTGTTTTTTAAAACCTACATGGCCAATAACTTTGGGCATTTTTATCAAAAAAAATCATTATAATTAAAATGTATCCATGCTAAATTTTACCTTTGTCTAGATTTCAGTGGTTTCTGAGGAACGGTTTTACACTAAGTGGAATCCTGAAGCATTACCTTCAAATACAGGTGAAGTTAATTTCCAAAGCGGCATTATTGCAGCCAGGTGTGCTATCAATAAGCTTCATCAGGAGCTTGGAGCCAAGGGTTTTATTCAGGCAAGAAATTATTAAATTTGTTTCTTCAGGTTCAATTTCAGAGTAAGTCTTTCCAGTTTGAAAGCTAATCTAGGTGCTCTTTCTGCTTCTCAGGTGTATGTGGATCAAGTTGATGAAGACATAGTGGCAGTAACAAGACACTCACCTAGCATCCATCAGTCTGTTGTGGCTGTATCTAGAACTGCTTTCAGGAATCCCAAGACTTCATTTTACAGCAAGGAAGTGCCTCAAATGTGCATCCCTGGTAATGCAATCTGAGAATTGTTATTGTATTTGTATTATATCATTATATTAAATTATACTGTAACGTTATAGTTACATATCATGTATGTATCATATATATTATAACACAGTGCTACTGTGGATGTACTTGAGAAAAAGAATTTAAACTTTTGCCAGGTGTGATGGCTCACACCTATAAACCCAACACTTCAGGAGGCTGAGGCAGGCAGATCACTTGAGTTCAGGAGTTCAAGACCAGCCTCAGCATTATGGTAAAACTCTGTCTCTATCAAAAAAAGTACAAAAAATTAGGTGGACATGGTGGCAAATGCCTGTAGTCTCAGCTACTCCTGAGGCTGAGGTGGGAGGATCGCTTGAGCCCAGGAGGCAGTGGTTGCAGTGAGTCCAGATCCCACCACTGCACTCTAGCCTGGGTGACAGAGTGAGACCCTGTCTCAAAAAAAAAAAAAAAAAAAATTTTTGGCAACTTATATTTTTACTGGGTGGAACAAAACCTAGACAGAAATACTTTCAAATATTAACATTTTTTGAGTTGTGAAATATTTTTGTTTATATTTTATTTCCTAATTTGTGTAAAATGAACATTTATTTCTCTTCTAGCAGAACAATATATATATTTGTGTTAGTGTATATGTATATACATGTATAAATATATGTCTTTGTGTATAAGCACAGACATACATACAAATATATAAACTAAAATGGAAAATAATATAACCTTATGTTTAAGGCTTTTCATAATCCATCCTCATCTACAATCCTAGCCCTATGTCTGTCCACTATTTCAGCCAAATAGGTATTTTTACTTCTTCCCAAATACTATGTGAATTGTCTGGATCTTTCAAGGTCTAAAGTTGTACCTTCTTTGTTCAGTGATCTCTCTTCCTTCTGAACATACAGCAATTATAGTCTCTATGTACTCCTTTGGCATAGAGAGTCAAAAATTATAAAATACATCCCTGAGATATGTCCTTAATATTACTTGATTTTTTTCTGGATATGTGTATTTTATTGTCTTACTATTATATGTGGTATAGCATAACGTGCTCCTGTTCATGCAGCAGCTGTCAAAGTTTGTTGATTGATTGACCAAATGAAAATTTCCAGAAAAATCATCATATTCTATATTGGTTGCTAGTTGCTGAGTATGCATAGTTCCTGTTTTTAAAAATTATCAACCTGAATACCTAAAAGTTTCTTTAATTGTTCACAGATTTATATTCACTATCCTTATCTGATCTTTGCTAATGTACATATTTAGTTTTACAGGACAACAATCACAATGTACAATATTATCTCTGGTTTTGTTTTGGTCACGGATCATTCCTAAAACATTTCCTCTTGTCAGTCCACAAAATTGTGATTATTATTTTGTTAAATGTTTCATACGTTGTTGTTATGCCCTTTTTAATATTCTTTAGTATGTTTAGTAGTGTTTTAAATATACACTAAGGATAATTGTTTTTTCTTTTAAACAATTTTCTTAGTGTATATTTACAGAGGTAGAATTTCTAGATCAAAAGGTTCTGTTACCTATTGCCAGATTAATGACCTAAAGCTTAAGTTATTTAAAGTAAGGTTGTAATTTTATATAATCCATTGACCCTGCAGTTCTATCCCTAGGTATATATCTGGGAAATTTTCATACATTTCCATTTGAAGATATGCACAACAATATTTATTGCAACATTGTTTATAATAGAGAAAAATTAGAGACAACCGTAATAGAACAGATGTATTTTGGTATATTCATACAGTAGAATATTATTTGACATTTGAAGTAAATGTGCTAGAGCTGATGTAGCAGTGTGAATGAATCTAAAAAATACATTGTTGACCAGTAAAAAGCAAGTTGCAAATATATGTAATTTGAATTCATTTTAATAAAACTTGGAAATAGGGAAAATAATATATGTTGTTTAAGGAAACAGGCATGTGTACTGAAAATGCCAGGAGTAGTGAGCACCAAACTGAATTGAGGTTACCTCTGAAAGTGAAGAATGGGTACACGGACGCTTTACTTGTATTTGTAAATTTTTCTTTAAGTGAGGAAGTGGAACCTGGGTTTTTAATTTTTTTTTTGTATCTGAAATATTCCAATTTTTAAAAAAATGTATGCCTTTCAAGTGATTTGCTTTTTTTCTGCTCAAAATTAGGTAGTTGTTCACCAGAGCTAAGCTATTATTTTGATACATTTCTACTTCAAAAAAAGCTTTGTTAACTAAGTTGTAATTTTTTTTTTTATTGTAAAATGCACCTTGGTTAGAATCATCTACTTTCAGACTTCTAAAAAAAATTAACTGATATTTTCTTTTCAACTTTAAGTTAAATGACTTGAAACCACTTTAGCCTTCCTAATTTTGATGATTCCATATGAAATTTTGTTAAAATGTTTTTATATATTCCTAGGCAAAATTGAAGAAGTAGTTCTTGAAGCTAGAACTATTGAGAGAAATACAAAACCTTATAGGAAGGATGAGAATTCAATCAATGGAATGCCAGATATCACAGTAGAAATTCGAGAACATATTCAGGTATTTAGGACTCTCATCTTACTACTATGTTTAGCATTTAAGGACATTAGAACTATTTGTTGAATGGATTTTTTTAATGTAATTTTTTTCAAGCTTAATGAAAGTAAAATTGTTAAACAAGCTGGAGTTGCCACAAAAGGGCCCAATGAATATGTTCAAGAAATAGAATTTGAAAACTTGTCTCCAGGAAGCGTTATTATATTCAGGTATGTTAACTGAGCTCAAACTGTTGACTTATATTTAAAATAGTTTGCATATCCTGTTAAATTTGAATAAATTACTCTTAAAAATTAACCACTTTTTAATTAACTTTTTCAGAGTTAGTCTTGATCCACACGCACAAGTCGCTGTTGGAATTCTTCGAAATCATCTGACCCAATTCAGTCCTCACTTTAAATCTGGGAGCCTAGCTGTTGACAATTCAGATCCTATATTAAAAATTCCCTTTGCTTCGTAAGTATGCCTTGTTTGATAGAGATTTGCCACTTTAATAAGTGAGTTACCACTAGACTGAATTAAGCAGTTTTAAGGGTCGTCTATATCCTTGCTACTCAAAGTACCGTCCAAGGACCAGCAGTGTCAGCATCACCTGTTGTTAACATTTTACCGTATTGCTTTATAATTTGTGTGTGTACCTGCATGTGTATTCTCTCTATAGATATAGATACACACATGCCTACATGCATACATACACACACACATGCATCTCTCTCTACACACACACACACAATTTATCCAAAGTATTTGAGATTAAGTTGCATACCTCATAGCCTTTACCACATCATTTTTAAAAAATGTCAACATATGATTCTACTTTATGGCTTTACTGTAATTTATTTAAACAGTTTCTATTTTTGGATATCTAGATTGCTTCTAATTATTCCCTATTAGTATGTCTTTGTACATTCATCCTTAGTTATTCCCTTTCTAGATGTCACTGCATACTACAGAAGAATATCAGTTTTGAGGTTTAGACCTGGGTTAAACTTTAGCTTCATTACTGTCAGTATGATCTTGAATAATTTGTTTAGAACTTTCATCATCTCAGTCTCCCATCTGCAAAATTTTGTAAGAATTAAATAGGATAACACATATAAAGCACTTAACACAATACTTGGCACATAGTAAATGCTCATAGTTTGCCATCATTAGTACTAGTATAAATTTTCAGAAATGGAATTTTTGGGTTAGACGAGGGTCCCCAACCTCTGAGCTGGTCCGTGGCCCATTAGGAACCAGGCCGCATAGCAGGAAATGAGTGGCAGGTGAGCTTTATCTGTATTTACAGCTGCACCCCATCACTCGCATTACGGCCTGAACTCTGCCTCCTGTCAGATCAGTGGCTGCATTAAATTCTCATAGGGGCGTGAACCCTATTGTGAATTGTCCATGCAAGGGATTTAGATTGCATGCTGCCTATGAGAATCTAATGCCTGATGATCTGTCACTGTTTCCCGTCACCCCCATATGGCACTGTCTGGTTGCAGGAAAGCAAGCTTAGGGATCCCACTGATTCCACATTATGGTGAGTTGTATAATTATTTCAGTATATATTACAATATAATAATAGTAGAAATAAAGTACACAATAAATATAATGCACTTGAATCATTCCAAAACCACACCCCCTCACCCCCAGTCCATGAAAAAGTGTCTTCTGTGAAACCAGTCCCTGGTGCCAAAAAGGTTAGGGACCATTGGGTTAGACTATATCCATGTGTTTGAGGCTTTTAATACATACTGCCAAATTGCCTCCAGAAAGATTATATTAATTAATACTTTCAGCTCTATCCAAGAGTTTCCATCATTACCAATACCAATATATTATACCACAATATAATATAGTGTTTAAGGGCATGGAGTATAGAACCAGACTAACTGGGTTTGAATTCCATTGCAGACTCTTATTAGCTATAAGAAGTAAGACCTGGCTGAGTGCAGTGGCTCACTCCTATAATCTTAGCACTTTGGTAGGCCAAAGTGGGAGGATTGCTTGAGCCCAGGAGTTCAAGACCAGCCTGGGCAACATAGTGAAACCCTATCTCTAAAAAATGTTTTTAAAAAATTAGCTGGGAGTTGTGGCATACACCTGTGGTCACAGCTGCTCAGGAAGCTGAGGTAGGAGCATCAGCATCAGTTGAGCCCAGGAGGTCTAGGCTGCAATGAGCCATGATTGTGCCACTGCTCTCCAGCCTGGGCAACAGAGCAAGACCCTGTCTCTAGAAAAAAAGAGACCTTTGAGAATTTATAATAGACATAATTATAGCACCTTTCTTCCAGAGTTGTGAGGATTACTTGAGTAAAACACAATAGTTTTTCACGACACTATGTGAAAACACATAGTGATTGATAAGTGTTAGCTGTTACTAATCAAACTGGTAAATATAAAATAGTTAAAAATAACATCTCATATAATTTAAATATTAGTTAAGCTAAATTATTTTGTTCATTGGCCATTTGTATTTATTTGTTGAAGTGTAGTTTTATGTATTACCCCATTTTGCCATTGTGTTCAGCTTTTTTTGTTGTTTTGTAAGACTTTTTATTGTTAAGGATATTAACTCTTAATTCAAACTATTCTTAATAAAGTAGTTGCATTCTTAACCAAAAAATCTGTGATGAAGCAGCTTTGTGTTGGATGAACTGCTTGTAAAATGCATGTTCCTCCTCAGACCTGCTCAGATTATTCTGGAGCAAGGCCAAAAAATTTGCAGTTTTATAAGATCCCCAAGTAATTTTTAGGCAAGGAGTCCACTGGCTATGTGTTGAAAAATACTGCCCTAGAATGGAGTTGATACTGAGGCTTCTGAATGATTTGACTCAGGCCTGACTCACAAACTAGCTCTGAGGAGGAAAGCTGAGATGGAGAGAACAAAGCACAGATGACAATGATTTTCTAAATTGAGCCAGAACTAAAAGAGAAAGAAGAATATACATTCAAGTGGATATGTGTTCACATAAAATGGCAGTCATGTAAAATGAAATTACCTGAGCATCTGTTATAGAAGCACAGGAAAATACAGTCAGCTGTATTCAGGTGTGGTCAGTTATACAGTCTTACTGCTGACCAAACAAAGGGAAATCAAGGCCATGATAGTCAGTCTTCCCTCTGACAGTTATCAGGAGGCATCTTAATCTGAGAAAATCCTGGTCTCTTGAATAAACAAGCTGAGAGGCAGTGCAGCCTTAAAGAAGAGAAGAGAAGGGACGTGGAGAATAGTATAAAGGCAGAGAGCACGTGATTTCCTAGGCCGTTAACTGACTTTTTATTATTCATTTAGTGATCCTCTGATAAGTATTCTTAGTATACAATAACTAGCATAAAAAGTTTTTGATGTCTCACTTAGGGAAATATAAAGGAGGGAAATCAGATGAGAACACATAAATAAATAAAAGACGGAAGGAAAACACTAAGTCCAAACTAGAAAGGCTAAAAAAACAAATTTATAAGATCAAGGATATAGAAGCCAAAATATTTTCCCAGCATACTTCTAATCAATACAATTTGGTACTTGATTATTTCCTTGGTTTGGAAGTATTGTTGCTTCTAATTGAATCTTTTGCATAATTTGTCCTTTAATAATTACTTATAATGTATGAATGTAATGTTTATTTGAATGCTGAGTTCCTAAAACATATACTGCTAAGACATTTTATGATTATAATTCAGATTATCTTCTTTTGTTTCTATTGACAACAAGCAAAACTTCAATATATGATTATCTTTATGTTTCCAATTCTTAGTATTGCCTCCAAATTAACTTTGGCTGAGCTAAATCAGATCCTTTACCGATGTGAATCAGAAGAAAAGGAAGATGGTGGAGGGTGCTATGACATACCAAACTGGTCAGCCCTTAAATATGCAGGTCTTCAAGGTAAGCAAATAGAAGGACAGCTGAGCTTTGCGTTTTTCTTTTAGGGTCGTCTGGTGTCTTCTTTACAGGCGATAGAGTATATAGGCTCAGAGTATGCCTGCTTGGGTTGCAATTATGGCTCTGCTCCTACTCATTGATTGACCTTTGGCAAGTAATATACCCTCTCTGTGCACCAATTTCTGCCTCTATAAAATTTGAATAATATTATCTAATTTAGAAGGTTTTTGTGAGGATTAGTGAGATCATTCACATAAAACACTGAAAACGGGATGTAACACAAAGTAATTACCCAGTAAATTTTACCTAGAATTACTAGTTCTATCTCTTTCCTTAAGGTCTGTGTAGCTCTTTATGTATACTTGGACCTTAATTAATGTTTCTTGACCTGGTTTATTATATAAGAAGAAACAGAATATGCTTGTTTGGGCCCCAAGTGAGATTAGGTTGTAAATATAATCCATTCACCTTTTTTTAAATCTAATTGGAAATATTGCATATTTGTTTTATCTTGTAAAGAGAACTTACAGTAAAACATAGAGTAGTTGTAAGATGAGTTAAAGGAATTAAATATTTATCAGTTTAATTCATCTAGTTGGTAATATTTCCTTAGATGTTTAAGAAATTTGCTTTATCACACCTGTATTCCTAGTTCATGTAGTTTTCCACTTATGCCTTTTATTCAACTCTTTCTTTGTCCATCTAACCCATCTTTAAGGACTAATTTAATTCTTGCATCTTTCATAAAAGCTTCTTTAACTATTGCTTTTTACAGTAATTTCTTTGTCCTCCAGATACCCATTGCATTTATTTTCTATACCTCTTACTTGGCCCTTGAAATATAATGCCTTGTTTTGGTAATTAGTATAATGATTTTTGTGAATCTCTATCATTGTGATTAAGAAACAGGCTTTAAAACCAGATTTCCTGGGTTACATTGACTAGCTTTATAACCTGAAGTAAATGCTCTATGGCTTAGTTTTCTCATCTGCAGAGTGGTACCTACCACAGGGATTATGGTTAGGATTAATGAATTAATACATGTGAACAGCTCACTAGATGACACCTAGTTTATACTAAGTAATTGGAAATTTCTTAAATTTTTAAAACTTAAATTGGAAATTTCTTAAATTCCTTAAAACCACACTAAGTAAGTAGGCTGCATACCTTGAGAAAGAATTAAGTTTTATCTTTTTTATGCTTCTTGTTTTTTAGCTTTTGTATTTCCTACAAAACCAAGCACATAAGCATTTCTCAATAAACTTTTTTGAGACTTTTTGAACTTAACGATATTTTTTTCTAAAATATTCTCATTTTTAACACAAAATGTTTTGTCCTGTAAGAAAGAAATATATGTGAGCCAGACATGGTGGCTCCCGCCTGTAATCTCATGCTTTGGGAGGCCAGAGCAGGAGGATCACTTGAGCTGGAGAGAGGTTTGAGGCTACAGTGAACTATGATCGTGCCACTGCCCTCCAGCGTGGGTGACAGAGCAAGACTGTGTCTCAAAAAATAAATAAATTTATTTAATTAATTTTAAAAAGATGTATATATGTTACCAGATTTAAGTAATTATCTGCTTCATTTTCACTCTGAGTTGTTAAACTACTTCTAGTTCACTAAAAAGACCAAATTTGTGTGTTCTTTTTCTAGCCTTTATCTTTCTTATAGTTAAGTTTGCTTCTTTGCTAATTCTCCTTGTCTTTCTAATGAAATGATTCTTCTTATCTTTTCTAAATAGAATTGCCCTTACCTGTTTATTTTTTGCTGCTTTATACTAATCCCTTTCCCCTCTGATCGTTTAATATTTTCAGCAACCCACATATTTCCAGCAGGCTGCTAATAGGAGCCTCAGGTTAAATCAGATTTAACTACTTTGTTGACCTTTCTTTCCCCTAAACAAAATGTATTTCCCTTCTTATAATATGGTATATCTAGTCATGTTGGAATCCAGGAGTCCATTTTGGATCTGCGCCTTTCATCCTCAATATCCAGTCAGTCATTATGATTTGTGGATTCTTTTCCATATTCTGTTGGGTACACCATATCCTTTTTATTTCCAGTTTTCACTCTATTCTAGGACTAAATCCTATAAACAAAACCAACTAACCAGTTTTCCAAATCTTGTTACCTCATCTGCAAATCATTCCATTTCATTGGTCATCATCAGATCTGTTTCTAAAACACTGTGTTCCTTATGTCCTTCCATTATTCCACAGTGAGACCAAAATTTACCGAGCATTATCTGCTGTCCATGAAAATGCTAGGGCATATGTAGAATATTATTTTATAGTCTTGTTTCCCAACATCTTTATGTTTTAAGTATATGTATATATGTGTGTGTGTCTATATATGTGTGTGTATATATGTTTCCCAACATCTTTATATTTTAAGTATATGTGTATATATGTATGTATATATATATATACATACACACACACCCCTCACTTTGATATTTCACTTAGTGCTAAGTACCTCCCGTTAAATTTCAACAATTCCTTCCAAAGCATACTTTACTCTTATTATATCCATAGGTGTTCTTGTTCCCTCTGAAACCAGTTCTATGATTTCCTTAAATCTAGCCTGAATATTGATGAACCCACTACTTTTCAACATGAAAAAACATAGGCTTATCACTTTTCTTTCTTGAGATGCTTTTGGGCAGGGAAGCCATGCCAGTTACCCTTGAATATTATAACATTAAAATCCAAAAGAATAAGACCAGTCCCAGAAGTTATGAATCCTGAAAAGCTCTTTATATCTCTTGTGACAGTGGTCTCCTTCAGTATGCCTTTGTAACTTGGCTCAAGCCAATATTGCCACACTTATCTTGAACTATATTAAGCGCTGTTGGGGACTGGGTAGCCCTTGTGTCTGCCTCTAATACATATTCACCCCAAATCACTACAATAGACACTAGCAGAGTAGGGACTAGAGGATATACGAACAAATTGATGCTACCAATAATACAGCATGACATGTCTCTGCATTTTCAGGTTTAATGTCTGTATTGGCAGAAATAAGACCAAAGAATGACTTGGGGCATCCTTTTTGTAATAATTTGAGATCTGGAGATTGGATGATTGACTATGTCAGTAACCGGCTTATTTCACGATCAGGAACTATTGCTGAAGTAAGTAGAACTATATTATAGTCCCAAAAAAATCAAGGACATAATAATAAATATTACCATGTTATATATACTATTTAGATTGTTTTCTAACCTGAACTGTTTTCCTCCTTTCTTCATCATCTTTCAGTACTAGTAAATGGAAATAGGGTTTATAGATTACTAAAGTTGCATGTTTAGATTTACCTCTATAAACACACCTAGCCTATACACATACCAAATTAACTTTCAAATTTATTTTTATAACAGGTTGGTAAATGGTTGCAGGCTATGTTCTTCTACCTGAAGCAGATCCCACGTTACCTTATCCCATGTTACTTTGATGCTATATTAATTGGTGCATATACCACTCTTCTGGATATAGCATGGAAGCAGATGTCAAGGTACATCCAACAAAACTTGAATAAATGGGCATATCTGTGTAGAAACTATATACAGAGTCACTTCATACATGTTCTTAAAAAACCAAACCATGAAGAACTGTCATAGAACTGAAAAGGCTTGTAGGTGGATAGTAAATTTATTAGCATCCTTTAGTCTGTGTAGCATACAAAAACAAGCTTGAATATTATAAAATCTATTCTAAAAGCTAATAAAATATATTGATAAGAGTATTGTTTTATATTGTTTCTGTGTATTCATTGACTTACTAAGTTAATTGATAAAATTTCTGAAACATACATGTATGATTTTTCTAATTTTTCATCAAGAGGAAAAAATTCCACTATTATTATGAATGAAATTTGCCTTTAATGATGAATTTTCCTAAAATGGAACCACAAATTTAAGCGTACTAGTGAGAGCCACCAAATTGATTAGGACATAATTTCAGAAGAACAAACTTTCATTTCTGCCATTTGTTTTACAACCATCTGTGGACTGTAAGCCAGCTAAAATAATGGGTGAAATGAAAGTAGTTTTGAAATCTAACCAAATTTTAAAAAATTTTAACTAATATGACCATTGTTACAGATTGTATAGAAAAATCATTTGAAGGAAAGAAACCAAGTAAAATAAAACTGCTAAAAATTGTTATATTTCTACAAGTAATTAATTCCATCACTTTTGTTACAGCTTTGTTCAGAATGGTTCAACCTTTGTGAAACACCTTTCATTGGGTTCAGTTCAACTGTGTGGAGTAGGAAAATTCCCTTCCCTGCCAATTCTTTCACCTGCACTAACGGATGTACCTTATAGATTAAATGAGATCACAAAAGAAAAGGAGCAATGTTGTGTTTCTCTAGCTGCAGGTAAGGAATTATGTACAAGGTTGAAATATGTAAATAAGTAGTATTCACAGGAGAAAAGTTATAGGAAAATGATTATTTTTAAAAACCTTGTAACGTTACTTAAGATTTTATTTTACCGCTTAGTACATTTCATAGATTTTCACTCGTAAAAATAGTAACCATGCATACTGTTTAGTTATAACTGTGCGCCAGGCATTTATGTGTGTTTTTTATGGCTAGCTGATGCTTTTCTTCATGTTTCTGTTTTTTCCAACTCTTGACATTCTGTTTTTTTTTTAATCAAATTTATTTTACTATCTTCTTTTCTATATTTTCCCCAATTTTAAAAAATAAACCCAACCTTGTAATTATCAAGGGATCATGTAAAGGTCCCTAAAGATGGATGTTAAAAAAAAGATGTTAAATAATTTTTTCCATGGGTCTAATTGCAATCAAATGCTTTCAACATTTGAATCAATATCCTTTATTCCAAGAAGATTTAAAACCTGAATCAAGTAACAAATTCAAGTAAGCAAAATAGACTAAAGGACAGGCTTTTGTTTTCTTTTTAATACATTTCAAGCATATTTCTAGAAAGTACTTAGTATTTGAGGCAACTGAAGTTTAGAACTTTCCAAACTAAACTGAAAAATACCAAGTTACAGGAAGAAAGAAGTAGTATTATCTGTGTAATTCCCTCTTTTACCCTTAAATTTGCAGCTACTTAGACCAGATAAAAAGACTTAGTGATACCCAACAGCTAAAATAAAAATTACCTTTCCATTAAAAATGTTCATGAAACATTCATAAAACGCTGTTTTAGTTCTGTAATTGTGTTTTTAGATTTTCACTTGACTGTTTGATCTCCTGGTATCCATTGTTGCCTCATGAATCCATGCAGATGCTCGTGAAACAACCTTAGCCAGAGGGGCAAAAGAAACATTGATGTAAATAACTTGGTTTTAAAGCCTACTTTTTAGAAGCCTATTACAAAAAGTAGTAATTTCAACCTTTTTGATTGTGTACTGCTGTTGTTAAACATCTTCAAAACATACACTTTAAACGATATACTGATATAAGCTGTTACATCTGACACATTTATCAGGTATGATATAAAACAAAAACTAAAAAATTAAGTTGATAAACAAATACAAGTAAAAGTGTAATATTTGCTTCTAGCATCCCAAGGGAGTGTTTGCCTACTCTTTACTTGCAAAAAACAAGACTGTATTCAGATTTGCAGATAGGTTTTTTGGGGTTCATTTTAAACTGATTGGGAATGTCTTCCTTTGGTTATAGTATTGCAACAGCAATTAAAAACAATGGCTCATAC